TGGAGAAGCTCTCAAAAATAGAGGATTACCCCCAGTTTCTCCAGAACTACCCCTCACTGTCAGCACTCAGTGAGTCTACACACTCATCCAGCATCAATATTCGTCCTCTGAGATACTTTGAGGATGTGACAGCAGCTGTTTCAGAGCTCAGAGAGAAACTACAGGACATCCTGAGAGACACATGGACAAACATCTCAGTGGCAGTATCTGATGTTGATGTCCTGCTGTTGACACCAGAACCAAAGACCAGAGAAGACTTTTCAGAATATTTTCGATACATCAGTCTGGATCAGAACACAGCACACATGAATCTCTTGCTTTCTGAGGATGACAGAAGAGCGACTTTAGTCAAAAAGAAACAGCCCTATGTTGAACATCCAAACAGATTCAATTATTGGATTCAGGTCCTGAGTAGAGAAAGTCTGACTGGGCGTTGTTACTGGGAGGTAGAGTGGAGTGGCAGAGGTGTTGAAGTAGCTGTTTCATACCAGAATATCAGCAGAGTAGGTAACTCATATGAATGTGCCTTTGGATACAATCCTAATTCCTGGGCTTTAAGATGTGATGGTAAAAGTTACACATACAGATTTAACAAAGTCCAAACTCCAGTATCAGGTCCAGTTTCCTCCAGAATAGGAGTGTATCTGGATCACAGAGCAGGTATTCTGTCTTTCTACAGCATCTCTGAAACCATGACTCTCCTCCAAAGAGTGCAGACCACATTCACTCAGCCTCTATATGCTGGGATTCAGTTCTTTTACTACTATGTTTCCTATCCAGGAGAAGAAACAGCTGAGTTTATTAAACCATAATAGGAATTAATGGTATTGGCTATAGAGAACTGAAAACAGTGTATCCACATAAACTAATTACTTTTATCTATTGTACTCTACTTTTTGTAATATTTACTATGAACGTTATTATACCTTATACTGGTGTCCTGTACCTCTGCTTCATTATACTTGCTATTCGATTATAATTCACCTTCTTTGTCTAATTTCTAAAACATCTTGGAAATTTGGGATTTTTAAAGAAAATGAAGGGAACTTTATGCTACAGTGATGATTTGACCATTTTAATTGATCAAAGTTTCTAAGATTATCTGCTAACTTTATTCTAACCAGCTGTTAGTTTGTTTCTGTATAACCGCTTGGATACTACTTATGTTTGCTTGATCTAAATTAAATCCTATGTCATTTTTTTCTATCAATGTCTTAAGTTGTATCCAATCCTTCAGAAGAATTAATCAACTTTAAAGATTAAACTGTGCTGGTTTTCTTGTTTCATTGTATTCCTTAGCTTTGATAATATATCTGAATGTAAAATTTGTATTACAAGCTCCAATTTGAAAATAAATGTAAATT